CCTTCGGAACAGCGCACAGCAAATAGCGAAAGCAAATTTGAAATCAGCGCTTCAAGATGCATTTGATAGGATACGTTTTATTTCAAAAGAAATTGTCAGCGGTATGATTACAATCTTCTTTTTGGGGGTGACGAGACAGAAAATGGTAGTACTGCAATGACCACTGCGCGGTAACCGGCTGCATCTACATATATACCGACGGAGGTCTGGGATCTTGGGACTTCGTCTCCTATAGCAGAAGCCGACCGGTCAAGAAGTGGTTTCTCACGGTTATAGCAGAGTCATGGGTGAATTGCAACAGATTAACTCCACCATTTGTTTATTAGTAAGTCCTCATAAGCTTTGGAATATCACAATGATTCAGCGCTGCTAGAGACGAGGGCGACTCGAGATTTCCTCTGTTTTGCTCTTATGTGCTGAGCGATTCGCAAATGACTGAATTATATCCATTAAAAAATACGATTGCAATCGGATTTATTAAGGAACTTCTTCAAAAGCTTTATCTTTATCTAAAAATAATCGTAAGTACAAGCAGTTGCTACGCAGCTACCCTCTCCTGCCTCCATGAGGACGCCCTACTGTATGTCCGCTTAGGACCAGCCATTTGGCTCGTTGCCATGTGCGCGCTCATATTTACAGCAGCAGCGTTTGTCGATGAAAACTGCAGCTACTACGGAATGCATGAGATGTGAAGAAGAAATATCTTTGATAATTGACTTCCAGAAATCCCTCATTACCATCTGGGGAATGGTGGACAAGATATTCGTAGTTGTTTGATGAGATGCATAGCCCTCGTGTTTGCGCTTGCTCATGTGTTTTTGTCCGAGGCATTCAATAACTCTTTTCGTCCGTTCCCCTGTTACCCGTCAGTATTCCTTAAGTGTCTGCGAAGTGCTGACATTTGGACGGACCAGCCCATGAAATCTCTCCAGTGGTGCGCTAATTTTTTTACTCTGGCCCTTTTTTCGTAAGTCCCACTTCTTACAATGTTCTTCTTTGAGTTTTTTGACCGGTCTTATGCATTGAGCTGACTTGTGATCTATTCCGGCTCGAAGCCTCTATTCATATCAGCCAGCAGTAGCTGACAGCTGTCTCAACGCTCGCTTGCACATTTCGAAGACGATGCAGGTGTGCGTCGTGCTTGTCAGCTTATTTTCTGTTAAATATTGTTTCCTCGAAATGACTTTACGCTTTCGTTCTAACACTGCGTGGCCGTCACGTGGCTTGTCTAATTTGTTCAGCATCGTTTTTGTATGCCTTGCGCTTTGCTCAGCTTTTGCTTACGTTGAGGAACAATGTCCGATTCCCTGATCAAGTCGTTTTCAAGCTAAGAGTAGTAAATCTTTATGGTCACTTTTCTGGAAAATGTTTTCTGCACATGCTCATCGAAGAAATGACTTTAGAGTTCTGTTCAAGCGACAGATTTTTCGTATCCAAGGCCTAAGCGCGATCCACGATGTGCAACTTGCCGCATTGGCTCGTTATCCGTTCTGCACGTTTTAAACTCGCTCCCCAGGCTTCTCGCCTGCTGCCACTTTTCATACTTTTTCTTCTCACCCGTCCTTTTGTAACGATTCCATTAAAAGATTACGACTATCCTACAATTTTGTTTAAATATTCGCAAGAGAGAGTTTGTTTGGTGTCATCGCTGAACTCGCAGCTCGCTTCTACGTCCTCGAAAGGTTTGTGGATTACAGCTTGTTCCATGGATCAGTTTGAGCTTTTCGCGGATATGTCACAATTTCAAAGAATGTACCTCCTTCTCTCATGCTGGTGATTTCAGTATTGTAGGCAGCATATATTAATTCTCTGCAACTCCATCTTTGGAGTTTCATCTCTCATCTTTTCTCGTCCATTTGTCACTTGGTAATGTTTCTTCCCCATCTCATACTTATTGTTAGTACAACGCTGTAGTGTATAATGCTTCGCTACAGTCATTTTGCCAAACTTCTCTTCATTCTCTATGCATCAGCAGTAGAAGAGGGGAGAGGAGGGAAGAGGGGGGGCTTTAAAGTAAGGATATTTTTGTTTCTAGCTGCTTCATCTGTAAATGCGGTAGCTGTGTCTCGCCAAAAGAGGTTACAAATCAGATTTTCTGATGGTGGACATTGGTGATGATCTCACCACTCCATAGATAACGTTGTTTTTGTCGAAACGAAGTTCTATTAGTGCAATCTATCAAGATAGACGCGATATATTATCAACATCCGTGAGATAAATAGATAGATAAATGGAAATGCCCGGGGCTTACTAGTGTATGTCAAGAGGCGCGATTTTGATTGCCAGATGGGCACCAAATACCGCATATTTGTTGTCTAACGTTGTAGAAGTATTTGGGAATTTGAGTGAGATACATTAGATAGTTGCTTGAGTTGTTTAGTCTTCTTACTTTTGAACCAATTCAAAGCAAACAGTTGAAGGTCAAAAATCCATGAAAATGCAATTGGTAGCAATTTTGTAAATATTTCGGTTAGTTTTCCAGTACAAAACGCCTAACTCAGCAGGTGGTAGCTTCAAACGCTAGTAAGCCAATGCACTTTGTTCTGGCACTTTTTGAAGATTTGCATAGTATCAAATTGAAGTTTTGTTGGTGACAGCCAGAGAAATCGCTCTTTTGACCGTCTCCCCAAGCATGTCACAGTTTCACCCTACTACTTGATTTTTGTTTTATCAAAGCTGCTGAAACTGTTTTAACCAGGATGTCGTTTACCCGAAAGCATCCAGAAATTGAGTCTGAGCATTTCGTTTTTCTTTTCATACACGCCCCATAATTGGAATTATTGTAAGTTTTTTGCGGCCTTTTTTGTTAGGTGCTGGGATTTTAAAGTTTGATGCGAAGAGTCAGCAACGCATCCAGTACTTCACATCGCGCCTCCATGCTAAACCATGAATACCGGAATTGGCGATTAGGAGGAGGTAGAAAACGGGTTGAATATCTGGAATTATCCTTATGATAATCTTTGACACTAGGAGTAGTATTCATAGAGCAACCGTAGCAAATCACGTCGAAATGGTCTTCATTCTGGTCCTTTGTATCGTATTTGCTTACAAATGCAATGGTTAGGGCGCATAGCTTTCTTGAAGTTGCCTTATGCGTCTAGCGATCTCCCTCGCTCTTCAGTTTTCTCATGAATACGTGGTCGCAAAATCTCTTTTCTCTAGCTTTACACTTCTCTTTTTTTTTGCCATGACGGTCAAGAAAATAAGTCGGACCTTTTTTGTGTGTTTTTGGCTTTTTATTGACCTTACCTCGTTTTCAATTTCTCCCACAGATTGTCGTATTACAAGTAGCTCTAGTCTAACAACTTCATGCGAACAACACCTTTATCCACCAATACTGCAGCAGTTGGACTTTTTCATAAAAACGATTCAGTTTTCATGGTTGTTCTCATTCCTTGCCATATTGGGCTGGGCGTATCTTGTGCTGTGGCGAGATATGAAGTGAAAAAATTTCTTCTGCAGCAAACTGAAATTTGCGCTAAAAAGCTCTTACCATATCACTCCATAAATATCAAGCTACATAATCCCCGTGCATAGTGAAGAATCATTGCCTCAGAACAAGATGAAAACGTATGTATTGCTCTAAAATGTTCTTTTCGAACGTATATAGCATTTGCCATTTGCCGTGGTGTTATCTCTTTGCATTATCACTGAGAATACAGGGGTTCAAAAGTATGTACACAGTTTTGATTGTCAAATATCTCTTCCCACCGAGTGTTCTACCGACATTCAGTTATGACTCCCTGAAACTGGCTTCAACCCAATTATAGTATGATGCGAGTCACGAACTTTAGTACTGTAGGTGTAGTAGGAACCTCGAGCTTAGAGCGCCATTGATTTTGGCCTCCCAAAAATTTCCTAAAAATCTGAAAAGTTGTGAGACAGAGTTTTTGCCCACGCTGATTTCGCCTAGTTAACTTTTTACAGGTTTTCCAGTCGAATGGTAGTCGACTCTGAGGAACATTAGAAAACAGCCGTCACGGTGTAAAAGGCATAATAAACGAAGCATTGCGATAAAGTGCAAGTTTCATATTTAGGTTCAGCAGTACAGATTGGCTCAGTGTAGTAATTTTCTAGCTTGTTTGGTTCTCTTTCTGAGGCAAAATATGGCCCTCAACGGCATGAAACCCTTTATGAAGTTTCTATCGTAATCTACAGTAAAATAAATTGGTGATACGCACCATCTGTAGATATGACAAGGGAAGCTACCTAACTTAGCTTGGCCTTTTGGCAAGGGAATTTTATAATCGGAGTCTGAAGGTTACTATATAGAGACTCAGTGTTTTCAGCATGAATCTATCTCAAATTTCCTTTTTTTTTGCTCTCATTTGTTTGATAAAGCAATATTTTCGCATCATTGCAGGCAACTATCTGTCACCCTCTCACTTGATTGCGTTCATATATCACTAAGTACACTTTTTTAGCTGCACCAGTGAAGAATGTCTACGAGCAGAATTTCCTCTTGGTTTTTGTTCGAATGCTCTTGAAAATTGATTCTGTTCTTCTAATCTTGTTTGCGTACTCTGGGAAAAAATTAATGCTCAGCAACGCCAGATTTTTCAGATATTTTATTGCACAAAATAAACACTTCAATTCATGGTTGTTCTTTGGCTGTGTGTGACCAAAACTTCTTGCTCTAGTATAAGAATAAGTGACCACGTCTTCACCTTGTGTCTAGTTGAAAACATTTGCACGGAGGATGGATCCTTTTACTACTGTTGTTTTTGTACTCTAAAAAAATCGATAGTCAGCAACTTCAGGAATTTCCACTGAACAAAAGAGTACGTCAATTATATGTATGGTTTTGATTTGTTTGCGTATTCCTTCTTCTTGGATATAAGTATGGTATTTAGTCGCTTTTTCTATCTTTCTGAGCAACAGCTAGGAAGAATTTACTCCAATGAGAACTCCTTCTCTTGTTTCTTTTTCGTTCTTTTTCACGCACTTTTGAGCCATTTACTTTAGTGGAAAATACACATGCATTATATCTGATTTTTTCAAGATTTATATGATCTGCTGAAGCGCATCGACGCTGAACGAGGACTGGTTGATCTCAAATAGTAAACCTTTCGTTTGCTGCTTGGTTACAAAGAGTGCATGTGATATTCAACTTTTAGGTCGTACTTCATATGTCATCTGAGCCCCGACCCACTCAGGATGAATCTACAGCCGGACCCTCAACTTCAAAGTATGTCGTTTGTTGCACTATACATTTGATTGATTGATTATATATAATATCACCGCAGATGCTCCAATTCTTGTGTGTAAGAATATCTAGTGGTTCTTTCAAGCGGGTCCTAATCTTCTTATTACAATGGGTCGACTTGCACTTATGGGAGGGGTGGAAGCGTCGAAGCGCTACATAGTTGTTTGATTTGCCTTTGTTGCTGATAATTTTGGTGAGCTTCCATGCTCCTAACAGCAGAAGAGCTCCAAATTAATTACGCAAACGCTTTTTCTGTTTACAAACTTCCTTTGGAAAAGACGTAATGAAGTACTAAGAGTAGCACACCTAAACGTAGCAACGCGCATTTGGCTTTCGTCGGCAGGAGGGAAGAAGATACGTGCGTGAACATAGTTGATCTTTGTTAATATTTTGTTACATATAACGGTTCAAATTACAGAAGAAGCTGAAAGGCATGACTGTGCGCTAGATGCCGCTTTTGACCGAATTTGGTCACCTTGTTTTTCAGGTTGCCGGCTGATTCCATAGCTTTCCATTCCTTTTTCTTCTTTCTTTCCTAATATGCCGCGCCAAGTTTTTTGGTATCATCTAGATTATGGCAGGCACAGAATCCAGTTCAACCGGTTTATTTTCGCTAATTACTGAATTGACCAGTAGCGAATGGGTGAGGCGGATGAACCGGTTGAACCCGATATGTATGGCACCTTGTGTATTGTGTGCTGCAGTTGTGGATTGTCTGCGAGATCATTCTGCTTTAATTAACATATAAGGGTTACGTAAATAACGGTTGGCAATATCTAGGGCTAAAATTACAGGTTCTTCGTCTTCCGCTGTAGTTTGTTCTAGAGGGTTACTCGCATGTTTCATATGAGTAGTAGTGTCTTTTGAGTTTACGATAAGTTCACGGTGTGATTTGTCACTTTGACAATAAATGGCAAACTTTTTTGAATATAGCCGGCACCGTATCACTTGAAATATAACTAAGCTGCCTCAATACACAAAACAAAAATGCATTGGTTAAGCAAACTGGACGCATGGTTTCTCACAGTCTGCCCCAACTGAGTGCCCAAATTTGGGCACTATCCTTTAGCTGGCTTTTCAAAAACGACTCTTGATTCAACAAAATTTTGCCAAGTCATCTATTGAATATGTATCTCATTTTTCGTGCCATATCGACTGATGTTCTGTGTGACTGAAAACTGACCATGGAATACTTACGAACGATATCAATCGAAGCTGGTTGTGGTGCAATAAGCTCAAACAAAGTGGAAGTCCAACGCTTACAGTCTCTATATTGCTGGACTGTTGAGTTTTGTCGGCGCAAAATTACCACAAAAAATTTACACATTAATTGTAACAAATTTATGCTATAAGACGAAGAACTCGTTATAGTGGTATCTTGAAGTCCATAAGTTTTCGTGAATCACATAACATTTTTGTAAGCAACTTTTCTACATGTAGTTCAAGCCTGGTATCAAATGTTGCCTGTACATTGTGAGCAAACCGTTTGTTTGTCATCACATCACAGCATTATATTTTAGTTTCGTGCGCTTTCACTTGGAGTGCGCCATTACTCACTTGTTTTTGAAGCAAGTGCGTTTGTTTGTGAAACGGGTGTACACAGTGACGGTCGGGATTTCCGCCCTGGGGAAGGTGGGGGGGGGGGGGGGGGGAAGCGTGGCATAAGAAATTCTCGAATGAAGGTGATTGGCGTTAGCCACACACCCAAGGTGCTTCTCAAAATTTTTGCGAGCCCATGACCCCTAAAATCTAGAAACGGGCGTGGCCAAGGCTAAATTGAATTCTCAGAAATTTTCAAAGATTATTTTAATCATTGCAAGAATAAACAAGTCACCTGCGCGTTTTTACAATCCACGTAAGTAAATTTCAAAAAAGCGATCTTTCTCGAGGGGGGGGGGCTCGGTCCGCCACTGGGTGTACATATAGAATAAATGTTATAAAGAAATCTGTCTTTTCAATAAATTCTGTATGAGTTCTGCAGGAGCTCGATCAGTTTCCACGTGTGAAACCGTATGCACAAATCCTAAGCAATGGAAAGCTCAAAAGCAGTGGCTCGGCAGATCGGCGACTTTGAAATACATACTCATTGCTCTCGGGTCCCTTGGATGATAAGTCCAAAACTGTGCTTTGCAGCTTCAAATGATATCAATAACTTGTTTCTCCGGACGTAAAAAGTGCTGAGATGGAGGCGAAAACCCGCTTTCTAGAGGGTACATATTTGGCTGGTGGAGTGGGGATTGATGGAGACACCGTACCCATCTCGGCGGCAATTGGATTATTGGCTCTGGCAGCTATTCGTTTCCTAAAAAGGGGACGGCTTTCGTTTTCCGCCCAACCAACAGCTTCCATTTTCAGAAAAGCGAGTTATTGATATTTTCAAAAGCTGCAAAGCACAGTTTTAGATTCAGCTTATCTAGGAGGTCAAAAGCGATGAGTACCCTATAGATGGCAATTTGCCGATCCATCGCCTTCAACCAGTACACCTCGTTCCAAGCTGAAATTTCTTCGCTTTGCTGTGGTCCCGAATTCTATGGAAATGATTACTTCCATTTTTCCTTTTTATTTACTTTTCTTGTGTCCACCCTCCGTTTGTAATATATTGAACTGAATTCATATTTCTGAAACTGTAGTAAGCAATCGTAGAGGGGGGAGACATGTCTTCAAAAGTTATAGGTGCCACTTCTGATCAGTAGAATCCCTAAAAGTAATCCCTTGATTGTAGAACTCAAATAAGAAATTCCTTATTGGACTCGCAGTGTTTAGCTATGCGAATCACTTTGCCCCAACTTTTGGTTACCATAGAACAGTATAAGAGCTTTCCTGCTTCTTTCGCTATCACATGGAGCCAACCACCAGCCAGCGTCATCCAACTGTTTTCATCATTTGCAGTTTGTATGCTCTCTGTATGAGTGTGTGTTACCATTTAAAATGGTATTGCAAAAACAAACGAAGGAAACTTTTATTTTGTTGTTGGTCGCGCAAATAATGGAAGAAATTCGGATTTTCACCACATTCCCAAAAAAAGGGTATTGTGTGATGTGTTGTTGTTCTGTTGAATCTGTTGATATGCACGTGTAAGAAAATGGACTTTATTAGTCGTTTTATTTGAGTTGTGTTCAGCGCATTGACAGGTTATGAATTTCTGCCTATTCCAGAACTGAGAGTCAGGAACCCATCAAGGGCATTCTAAAACGACCGTCAATCAAGGCCGAAAATAAAGATCAGGTTGGAACTTTTTACTGTATGTCAGGTTGTTTATATACCTTATACAGGTTGTTCCTACAATCACTCACCGACCATCACCAGATCGATTTCCTGACAAACCTGGAACACGTATTCCAAAGTTGTCTGTCACATGGTGGGAAAAAAATGCAGGTAAGATTAAAAGACCTTAGGATTGTCGATAGATTCTTAAGTTTTGAGCCCGAACAAAAATTCTAAGTTTGTCGTTGAGTCTCTATGGTTCGGCTCAAAATTGTGCAGACAGTGCGGAGCAATAGACAATAGACAATAGCAATAGTTCCAACCCATTATATTACCTTGCACCAAAATTTTCAAAATCGGTATGGTTGACTACACGAATCGCCCAGATCTGGGCGATCCTGTAAACTGAAGGTCCGTCAGCGTTTTGGCGCGCGGCTAAATCAGTGGCCTACGGCCTACGTTTGGCAATGGTGTTTGATTATTCATGCAGTTGGCACGATTTCATGCAGTCGAGTTTACTATCTTCCAGTTTCAACGACTTCGTTCGATTTGATACATTTTGGAGCAAATAAATCCTGTGTCTTTTTACTGGTGCTTAGAAGTAGTTGTTGGCATAACGGGCAATGCAAGCTGGTGAAAATTACTGAAGTTAACACCAGGTATAATAGTACATAAGTATTTGCAGGTATATATGAGTCTAAATCAATGTTGGCTTTGTGCCGATTCATTATATCAAAATTGTTGGTTGATACCCACTTTGCTCTTCTGACTTTCCGATCTCATTACTAATTTTGTGATATATTCGGTATTCAGCACATGGTGTATATAACAGAAAGTGTCACGTTTAGTGGAACGTTTTGGATAGAAAATCTTTGAAGAATATTTGGTGCAAGATTTATGCTATTTTGATACCTCACTTACCTGCTGAATGGCTGAACGGTTGTGACTTTTGAAACGTCATAATTATCGATTATCTTGCAGTAGCAGTATTCGGTGACACTAGTGATGAAAACAACACGGACTCAGAACAGCTTTTAAAGGATCTCGGGAACGGTTCTAGTAATGTACAAACAGATGAAAGGTAAGCTGCACATCAATTGTATTTACATGGTGTTTGATGGGGTGTGTACATGCAGACAAACAGCAATTCTGGATTCAGAAGAGGACTCTGAGGAGATTCTATTGGAGTCACAAGATTTGAACGGTAACTGTTAGTTTCGCAAGCCTCATCACAGAACTGAGGATTTTTAGATGATGAGCCTCATGAGGAAACAATGGAAACGATGAGTGTCGCAAGTTCGACAGGATCTGCATCTTCCAGCGTTGTTGGAAGATGGTGGACAGGCAAGGATACTAGGTTTGAAAGGAATATCGTCTGGAAAGTCTTCTGGCAGGGTCTAGCTCTTACCTTTTCAGATTCGTCCCACATTGTCAAAAACGGGGCTGTAACCATAATCATGGTGATTTAGGTGAATATCTGACTCCCACGCAAAGGCGGAACAGGGTAAGCTCCATAGATTTCTAATGTAAAGGTACTGACCCGGTCTAGTTTGTAGGAAGTGAACGAACTCAAAAACGAGCTGAAAGCAGCCTTGAAAGAGAGAGATGAGAAGGAGCAACATCTAGAAGAGCTTAGAGAGCGCATAAAGGAGGTAAGGATGACGTTACACGTCCCAAATCTGTGCTGTGCTGCACATGGTGCATCACTCGAATTTGTAGCATTCCCTTGAACGTTGCTTTAGGTTTGTCATCCATGTATCAGATTGGATACCTAGGGGTCCCAGCTTCCAGCTGGATTCATTTAGACTATGCATAGTAAACAGAGCGAAAGTGCAAAATAGTGCTCCCACGCGAACCTCGCAAGATCTATTTGCTCTGATTTCCAAAGGGAAAACAGTGCCTGTATTGGTAGAGTCAATTTGGTTATCATGCGATGACTCATATTTTTATCTTCTTACAAAACGCTGCTGCCTTTGCCGAGCCATATTATTTGAAAGCTTGACATTTGTTTCGCATTTCAATATACAGATTGTTTGATATGCTGTTTACATATTACTCAGTCCAGGGAGTAAGACCTTTTTGTTGGTTAAAGGCAGAAAGCGCAAACTCTATCGTCGCGCGAATTTGCAGTTTGAAACAAGTTAACTTAATGTCTCATGTTTTTTACTTACTGATTTTGCTAATTTCAGGTGGAGGTTCTAAATGTGAAACAAGCATCGCTATCCGACAGTCATCGTCTCATGCTGCGAGAGCGGGAAGCGGCTGAAGCGCATGAGCGCGAGAAAAAGCAGATGGAACGGAAACACGCCGTGAGAGTGAATCAGCTAGTTCAAGAAACTCTCACCGCTAGGTGGGCCTTTTTCTGGGCATCTTTTTCTCTATATCATATTTGTTGTTTTCTAGGGATGAAATAGTTCGGCTTAATGCTCGAGTGAAAGATCTTGAAGCTGTAATCAATGTCCCTAGAACTGATTCGGCAACTATGACTGAAGCTACCCAGGTGCTTCAAATTCTTTTTTGTCATTATTACTGTTCTTTCCTAATAAAATCTACTTATGTCAGTACGCGCAGCCCACTTCTCAAAGTCCAATAGCCTCTGACCCAGTCGATCCCAACCAAGGAACAGGTTTGGATGACCATCAAACTGTTCTCGAGAAGACAATATTTTCTTTATTGAATTTTTCTTGTTTGCAGGACGTTCGCCCCTGCCGGGAACTTCACCGCTTATGCCACTATCCCCAGTACATAGCCTTCCGGATCAGGTTCATATTGGCTATCCATCCCTTTCTGTCTTGTCCTTTTTTTTCATAACATTTGTTTCACAGATGACTATGTCATCTCCAATGCTGGCATCTCCTAGCTGTGTCACAGTTGAGTCCAAGGTCACTGGCCAGCCAATGTATCTCAGTCAAGAGGCTCTAAACCACATACAGGTAAGACGGGTTGTGATGCGTGAGAGTTTTTTCATCATTACCGATCTTCCAGGCTTGCCAAAACGAGGCCTTCATTTGGCGAACAAAGGCAGCTCAGTTGGAGATCGTGGTCAAGGATCAGCTGGCGAAAGCAAATCGTGTTGAAGAAGCTCTTCGCGCAGAACTGTTTGCAGCTCGCTCTGGTTTCGTAGAGGTGCTTCTTAGTGCAAGTGATACCTAACTTGGCCACTGGAGCTGTTCTTGCGCTGCGATACAACCCTTATTGTTAGCTAGTCAAGATTTTTTCTTCCAGCCTCCGCTGAGGTGCCAAAAATACTACAGTTCTGAAGGTTAATTGGGCACCAGTTACTAGCGATTTTGCTTCAAAGTTCCATATGAATCAGTAGTTGACTTTTCTGGCTCCGCTCGTTTTTCTCAAATGTGACATGTTATAACTTGACATGCGGGATTTGCTTCTATACAACTGTAGATGCCAAAAGTGCCATATAGCATCAACGAAACTTAAACAATAGTTGAAAGATTTGCAGTCTCCTCGCTGAGATTATTAGGTTGTCTCATAAGTTTTTCAATTTTGAATTCCTACTGTAATAAGTCGTACACTTTTCAATTCTACTTAGGACGCAGGGTACCGTTCGATAGAGCAACAATCTTTTTAAGAAGACTAGTAAGAGTTTGAACCAGCTTCAGTACAACTCGAATAAGAAAGTCGACATCTGAGAGGTTTTGGATGCCCAAAAAAATGAAAAGAACTTTTATCTTCATCCAAAGAAATGTTGTTCCCACATAAATCAATGTATACCAAAAGTTCAGAAGTAAACCGCGGATTTCTAGCTTCTTACGAGCTCTAGTTTTCGAGAAATATTGATTTTAACATAAATTACCCTAACAAGAAAAGCTAAACTCGATATCTTTCAAGAACTAACGCTCCTAAAATCCTGAAAATCTACACTTGTGTTTCTAAAGGCTTGTAATATACATTTACCTATGGAACAGCATAGCATCGCTGCTTTGCAAGCTCAAAAATTTGGGTTTTCTCGGTTTCTAGCCTAGAAGGAAATACAATCAACAGCATATACGATTGTTTTATGTTTATATGCGTGAGCGGGTGAGAGGTCTCCCATACGCCTTCTTTGTACGAGGGTAGAAGTTTTATAAAATTTTCGGGCACTTAGGAGAACTTCTTAGTTCCGGACTCTACTCGGGGTATGCTGAAGCTGCGAATTACTACATCTTATAGAACTTGCTTTGCTCTATCGAACGGTACCCTACATCTTATCTAGAATCGAGAAGTGTACGACTTAGCGCGATAAAAATTAAAAATTAAATACTTATGAGACAGCCAAATACCTTTTGTGTGTCATTGGTTTTCAAAGCCAAAAGCGCCAGTTGATGTTCGAAGAGGTACACTTGGTACACTCGCACATCTGACTACATGTGACAGTTTACACCTCTCCCCCCTCCTCTGTAGCGTCGGTTCCAGCGCCGCTTAAAGCCATTTTGGTAGAATCAATCAAAGTAATTGTTTTCCCATTTTTATTACCATAATCAGCACACATGTTTCTCCACATGGCAAGTATCGGCACCCTGCTCAAGTTTTGAGAAATTTAAAATCGGCAAGAGTTGATGGTATCAATCCTACAGTTCATATTTGATTTGCAACATTATGACTCTCCCCCCCCCCCTCGCGCGCTCAACCAATTCCCACTCTTAACTCGAAATCTGTCAACAAAATGATAATATGAAACCGATCAATAACAAAAAGAGCGCTGTGACATTCGCCCGACCGTAAGGTGTGGCGAAGTTGCGTCCAATAGCTCCAAAAATGGGATCTCTGCCAGCACACATACAGCCGTCCACATTGGGACAGCTATTTTTAAGTGCACCACTTACTTGCAATCTGTATCAGAGTAAGTCAGTTACGGTAGAGTAACTGTCAGAGCGATCATCATGAAAAAAGTAACACGAAGACGATTTGCATAAAGTAGAAAAAGTGGTTTGCGTTGCGTACTACATTTCGCCGAAAAGGCGTGGCCCCATGTGGACATCTGCGACGGACCCGCAGCTGCACACGTTACAGACGGTACGATTTGTACCGGCTGGCCACGCGGGGTAGAGCCTATCTGCGACATATAGTCCTCTACCTGTCGTTCGAATCTGCAATAGCAGTCCTTTGGAAATAGTGAAATTAAACGGTGTACTATTGAGACTTCGATATGGAGAAGCAAAAGAGCACATAATGATCGAAGGTGTTAATTACATAGACTCCTCTCCACCCGCCTACATCGAGATCGCTTCCGAAAAAGACACATTTCAGCAAGCTCAAACGTCCGACGTGCCAAAAAAATCCACTGCGACTGGTGAAGATGTCAAAACCGGAACACCTACTAAAGTCTCTCCTGTGCCATTCGAATGCACATTACCCTCATGCGTTGAACGGAAGAAGGATCTCATTCAGGAAAATAACAGGCTGCTTGAACAGGTAGATCAATAGCCAAAGTGATGTGGCGAATAACATATGTTCAGATTGAAGAAGTTAATATGCGGATCCATGAATTGGAAGACGACGTCACTGCGCTACGTCATGATGTTGATGGCTTGGAAGATCACAGGCAAGGATTCGCTGCTTTTGGATTTGCATTTATCATTTGTTTTAGAGATCGCTTAAAACAACAGCTGGATTTAACTGTACAGGAACGAGACTCGAAAATTGCTGAAGTCGCAGCATGTAACATCGTAATAGGACGTCATCAGGTAAGATCGGAATATATAACGCTAGGTTTAGGATCGTTCTTCCAGCATAGATTGTGTGGACCGTTCCAAAATTTCAAAAAAAAAATTCAGTTGCAAATTTTAATCTAGCGTGAGCGGACTGGCCTGACTGGCCTAACGTAAGAGTTTAAAACTTGTCTGGTTTTCTTTCTGCGGCAAAATATGGTCCTCTGGCTTTGAGCTCTTTTTGAAGTTTTTACTGTAATCCTACAGTAATGAAGAGCGGTCCGTGATTCGCACCATACTTTGTATCTAAGGGCTGCATGCACTAACATCGCCGCGGGGAGGGGATCGCAGCTTAAAAGAAAGCCTCATATCCTGAAGCTCCAGACATCTGAATTTCACGTTGTGTACGTAACCGTAAGTATTCCTACTATCCTTCACTATGAACACATTGAGCACCAGCGAGATGCTGTACAAGCCGCAGTTCCCAGCATTTGTATGATCCCTGATGTTCCCCGGCGCTTTTCTTTAAAGTCATTTTCCTTCTCCAAAGTTAACGAAAAGTTTCCAAAGCTGTGCAGATTATCTAGCCCAACACTGCTTAGCATGTTGCTGATAAGAACAAGTAATGTATCGAATTCATGAAATTTGCGATGAACCATAAACCGAAAGTTGTGGTTTATCGAAAAATTCGATTTTTTAAAAACTCATTTGTTCTCACCAGTAACATGCTTAGCACTGTTGTGTTAGATAATTAGTACAACTTTGGAAGGTTTTCATTAACTTCAAACAAACAAAAATGGCTTTGAAGAAAAGCGCCGGGGATCATCAGGGATCATACAAAAGCTGGAATATGTGGCTTGTACAGCTTCTCGCTCCTGTTCAATATGTTCATAGTGAAGGATAGTAGGAATACTTACGGACAGGTAGACAGCGTGAAATCTAGATATCTGGAGCTTCAGAATATGAAGCTTTCTTCTGAGCTGCGATCCCCTCCCCAGCGGGTATGTTAGTGCATGCGGCCCTGAGTTGAGGCCAGCTCCTCAAAGTCGGAGAAAGGCGTTTTAGGAAGAGAGATATATCAAATAATGTATACCTACTTTTGAGACGCCTGCATACATGAAAGATCTAGGTTGAAGTTGAGGATAGCTGACGTTCTGCGTTGTATTGTTTCCTTTCTTTTCTCCTTCTCGTTTAAGCATAAATCACTGAATGGAAGACTTTGATGTCTGATTACTGCAGTTGCATTTGCAACATAATGTACCGTCTGCACCCCAGAGAGGTTCCCATGTGAACCAGCGTGCGTACGTGGTGCGACGCTGCCTTTCGCTCTTTTTGACACGTTTCTCCTGAGATTTCAACGAAAGTGCCCGAGGTTAACACGTTCAAAAGTGCGAAAGGCAGCGAGATGACGTGGTACCTATGGGAACCTCTCTGGGGCGCAGACGATATGTGGAGTTGATTTCAAAACAATGTCACATTTAGTATCAGACCATTTTGTCCATACCGAGATAACTTTTCACATTGTGCTCTCACTAACAGTTTACTCTTACTACTATAGACACTGTAATTAGGGTATCAATAGACCACATGTAAAGGAGCTTTTTCCAGCGTACTATGTAAGCTTTAAACTTCAGTAAGGGCCACTTTGCACAAAGTTTTATTAATAGACTGACAGCGCAACCATCTGAGCAGCAAACGCTTTTGTTACCACGAAGATGATTGAAATGTTTTTGCAACCATTTCATGCTTGTATTACGTATGAGGCGCAGCGAAAAGATTTATGCGCCACATAAATCGTCATATTTCGTCAACGGCAACGAAAGAAAACATGTTCGAAATGACTAAAATATTGGTGAATTTCCGTGATGTGGCAACCAAGAAGCCCTCGCAAAATTGGGAAAGACTGTGTTTGAGAGCTTCATGCTAATGATGGCTTTGGGTAAATGGTCATAACAAATTACAAAAAGCATACTTCTTGTGCACTGCCCAATAGCAATTCGCTTAGTTCCCAGATCTTGAAATTTCTTTCACGTGGATCCCCACATGTGCATTTTGATATCAGTCCGTACAAACAAAAAAATTCATCCTAGTTTAACGCAGCTAACTTTTTTGTACCAATTCATCCCAGGTGGAGAGCATTTAGATATAATCTTTTGTTCTTTAGATATAATATTTTTTCTGACATGGAAATGGTCAGAACTTGTGTGGCCAATTTATGAAACTTTTTAGCATCACAATTGCCTAAATTGCTAGTCTCAAATGTAAGTTTGCTGCTGAGAGACTACCGAAAGGAGTAGAGCGTTCGAATGTGAGATCTCATTCAAGCTCCCGGTAGATAAAGTAGTTGAAAGGCACCTGAGAGCGCGAAATTACATTGCTTTAGTATTCCGATCACAGGGAAGAAGCACACCCATAAAAAACTAAATAATCGTTATGAAACGTTTTCCCGGAGCGTGCGTTGCAGAGTACTTTACAAATCCGCAGTTGGGCGCTCATAATTCTTCCAGAGAGTCATTTAGCAGATAGTAAGATATTTATAGACATATTCAAAATCGCCGTTTTGAGGCGAGTGCGTTAATATACAATTTGCTTGGATTGATTGTACATTAAGTTCTGATCATTCTCGTGTGAGCCATTGTTCTAATTGTCGATGTGTGAAGCTTAGTGACTCTTTGTGTTAAAATCTGTTTACTTTTCTCTCTGAAGCCCTTGTGTTGCATTCTCCACAGAAAATTTGCAAAATACTTATCAGCTTGCTTGAAGATCTACCGAGGTCAAGCATAAGAAGTCTCGTGAGAATTGAAGAAGTCTTGTGGGGATGAATATTTTGGCACATAGTTTCTAGATATTGTGAAGTGTGCCCTAAATTCGCCATTGTTTCAGGCAGAGAAGGAAACTATGCAGAAGGCAATAGCGTATATGGAGGAAAGAATGCAGGTCTATCAGAACACTCTCATGGCTCACGATCTTGTCGTTAGCGATGAGAACAGCAGTGACTGGCGAAAGGGATTTGTCGATCCTAGGTGAGCCTCTGATTAGCTAAATGTAGTTTCTACCTTTTCATCTCCAGATACAATGTTATGCTGTCGAAACGGGTTCAAACTTCTTTAACAGCGGAAGCGTTGTCGAAACACGAGGATGAGTTTGCCTCAACGAAAAGGAAACTCACGGTTTGGTGAAAATCGAGTGTTTTTGTCATCCATATTGACAATATATTTAGGAGTTGCGTTCGGAGTTTGCGTCAAACCGTTCGGATCTCACGGATCGTTTCGCGGAAATTGAACGAATTTTGCTGACTAAAACGCAGTTGGTGGACACTCTGTCCAAGCAGCTTGAAGACACACGTAGAGAACAACGCCAAGAGATTGATTCGCATCAGCAGGAGCGAGAATCTTTTAAACAGTATGGTTTCAACGCGTCGAAAATCTTTGACAGGAAAAATTGTTTCTTTGCAGAAAACTGGAGGAGATATCGGCGGTGGCTGAGAGAGTGCCTTTGTTAGAGTCGCGCATTGAACAGCTTCTCAAGGTTCATATTTTTGAGTATAGAAAATGTGGTGCTAAATCTCGTTTGATTTCAGGAGAAAAGCGAATTTGAGATCCGTTTCGCTGCTCAACGTGAGGAACTGGAACATGCTCTTGAAGAGTCACTTGCCGAGACGCTGTCTAAATACAAGGAACAGTCCGATTACTGGACAGGAAAGCAGGCAGCGCTTGAGCAGAGCCTCGAAAGGGCTAAGGTTAGCTGTCACCGAGATCTTGTTTCGAAGAGGGTAAAAACGAAGTTGTTGCAGGCAGAGATCTCACAACATCTGATGGAGAAAGAAGACATGAAGATGAAGGCCAAACTTGAACGTGCTGATTTGGAACGTCGCCTGACGAGTAGCATTGATCATGTGGCGCTGTTGAATAGTCAGGTATGCAGAGAATCCCTTTTTGGAACTTTGGTTGGAGCTCAGCAGAGGTGGCGCTTTCACACGCTGGATGTCGTTTTTTGAGGAGAAAGCAAAAGGGAATCGTAAAGTTTGAGGGGGAATTTTCGAATCTGACAGAATATCAGCAAGCAAAATTTTCACTTTTAGTGAGCCCGAATTTGAAGTTCTAACGTTATTTTACCAATAACAGATAAATTCACATGTTAAAAACACGATTGGTGCATAAATCTGTGTGCCATGTTACCCAACATGTTAAATCATGATCTTTGTTCCCAAAAAGAATTACGAGAAGAAGGTGAACAACCAGTTTGTTTACATTGACTAACGATAGTACCAAGTCTTCAAGTTTGGTGCATGGCTTCGCCACGATGATTAAAAAGTAGTACGAATTATGGAGTTTTGTGTTCTTCTGTCTTAGGTTACTCCCGCGCAACCTAGGAGCACCCTGGGGTTGCGGCGGACCTAACAGAGTCTCAATTTACCCCCTTCTTCACACAATTTTTCAAAAATTTTCATGTAAATATTTTTCAGTTAAGCTCTACCTACGGGTATACTCACAACCCTAGCCTCGACCTCTCTGCTTTTCTAAAGGCTCTTGTGATACAAAAAATCTCCTTTCTCCCTCTTGCTGTTTTATCTATGACTTTCCCGTCTTTTTACTTCATTCTACCCACTCATCGTTCGCTGCGGTTTATATGTCGTACTTTCACAAAAACCACAAAATGTAATTCTTGAATTTCTGCAATGTCAGAGGGGACTTCGTTCCCAAGATTCCTAGATGCCACATCGTGCTGGGCCCTGACTTCGGCAGTTCGTCAATCATCAAAACGCCTTTAAATGAGATTTATGAGATTTTCAGATAAATAAGAGCCGCCGTGATGTTGAATGTGAAGCGAGGCCTCGGCATGTGAGCAAGTATGTGGCATGCAGGCCGAACTCCAGAAGTAAATCCACTACAATAGCGAAGGTAGGGTACTCTTTTTTAGCAAAGATTATACTGTTGAAAAATTCCGTTGTTGACCTACGGTAGACCTTTTGTCATTGACACCACTTGCTGGAACGTTTTCAAATTTTCAATTTAATGGAGAACAAATAAGATTACTAGATCAGGCGAATATGAGTTCAGCTGCGTTATGCGTATGTCGCAATCATTGGATAGGTTTGCATTTCGAACTGATTTCGTGGAAACATTTGTACCTGAAATACAGAAGCTGTTCGTTTACAAAGAGTGTGAATAAGTTCTACGCATTCTTGCTAGCAGATTCGCTCGACGATTCTTCTGAACCCCTTCAAAGTTTCGCAGTTTTGGGTGATGTTCTCGTACCATTGGCAATCTTGCATTGAACCTGCGGTTTGCTTATAAACCGCCAAATTCTAGGGGATTCGTCTTTTGTATACAGCTGTGATACGTATCTTCACAATCGTCTGTGAAGCAGTTTTGGTGGTGGTATTTATTGCCCCTGCGCCTGTACTTGTACGTTTGCGATAATAAAAAGAATCGATGGCCACCTTGTTCACAGCACAACAGTGACTGACTTCTTTCTAGGGCGATCTTTTCGATGAAAACGAAGAGCGTTACAAGCTTTGCCAGGGAGAGCTAGCGACAACTCGACGGCAGGTTCATGTACTGCAGCAGAAGCTGATCAGCACCATGCAGGAAAAAGTAACCTACCGGGTTTGTGCAAACTTGTAACCACCAAATGTACCAGACTTCAGGCCGATAAGCGCGTTCAAGTTCGTCGCCGTATCGCATGTGTTGTTGATCGCGATCCTGAGCCCCAAAGAGCCCATCAGGAAAAGCTGGAAGCACTAGAGACGAAAAACGCCGAGCTCCGAGAACAGGTGACCAGCGAATTGCATGTCAGTTATTTGCCTTCCTTTATTACATACTTCGTCCCGACTTTTCGTGCCGCTTAATGGAGTGCCGTGTGCTGCATGGGCGTATTTTGTCAACCCTACTCTTCCATTGTCTGTTTTCGTGTTACTTCCGATACACCTTTGGGCTTGGCACTTGCATCATCTCATGTTGTTTTTGATTAGTTGACGACGGCCGAGGAGGAGAAGGCCAACCTAGTGCGCGGTGAACGTGAACGCATACGACATCTTGTGAACGAATTTGAAAATGTTCGACGTGAACTCAACCAGGTTATACAGCATAATTTGGAAAGTCGTCACGAGTAGCAGAATCACAGAATGTTCATTGTTTTTAGGAAATGAATCGATACGAATCAGAGAAAACATGGTTGAAATCACGCATACGCAACCTTGAAACGGACAATGAAGAACTTCAGCGAACGATTGATGCGCAAGCCGAGGGTGCCAGCACATTCGGTACCGTTCCGATGAGGTAGGTTGGCCACCTACAAATATCTTCGTTCACATTGCATTCCGTTTGATTCGTAATTAACTTCCGATCCAAGTGCGTCTGGTCGCAGTAGGATACCCTCCACTGTTCTCCCTACATCTTATTTCTTCATTTTCGCTTATAACCTCATTCTTCTTATCGACAAAATGAATGAACTGCAAGATATTTTTTGGAACGCTCCCATCCATCATCATCACTTTTTGTTTAGCGAAGTCTCTAGCCTTTTGTCAGGGGAAACAGCATGTTGCAAAGCGCTTCGTAGTCAGCATATAACAAGAGGTACTAAATGCTGCAACTCTATGGCTGATCGGAACTTAAACTGTTGCTTTTTTGCTAAGATAATTTCATTCAAGTTATCTGACTTGCGTGGTTTTTACTCAAACATTTTTTCAGGAAAACCCTTTCGGAACCAGAAATCAACACAGATGATGAGGCATTACGTCTGAGAAGTGAGAATGTTCGATTAAAAAGGTTAGTCCATATCCGAGGTTTCGTTGCAGAGGACAAGGTCGTTTTGTGTCCACCTCATGTTTTTAGTCGCCGTGGCCTTCGACGAGCTATGGTATAACGCATGGTTGTGCAAAAATAACTTTAGTGTTTAGCTTGTAGGTGACTGATCAGCTGGGGCATTTTCAGTTCCCTTCTGTAGCCTGTTTAAGTGATATCTGAAGATTTAATTGCAATCGCAAGAGGTAGTCTTAGTATCATCTGTTATAGGGAGCTTGATAGAGTTCGCGAATCATTGTGCAAGACAGCCTCTGTAGTTGGACGAGATCGCAGCCAACTATCGCCAGCTTTCGCCACTTTGGCGGATGATCTCAACCTGGTAAGAAGGTTTCGTGACTCTCAAAATGTCGTGATTGGGTTTTATTAGGTGAAATCGGACTTGGAACAGATCTTAAGTACCATGGATAGCGGTGCGCCAGGTGGTAGCGAAAAAAACATAGATGGCTCGACTTCACCTGTTAGTGCTAGAAGTGCTGCTGAAGATGAAGAAGTGCTGCATTCGGTGGGTAATCGCTAGTGCATTTTCTTTTGCGTAAACTGAAGAAACTTGCAAAATGTTGCAAGATTGATAGAAGCTTCTCGGAGGGCTTAGGTGCTGATTGTAGAATGATTTGTGTGGACGATTTCTGATTCTGTTCATATCATTTTGTTACTTATTGGGCTGCTTGCGCTGTAAAGGACCAAGGAGTCAGGTGCCAGCTGCGACCGTAATCTAGAAGGCGTGTTCCCTAAAACATCTGCATTCTCTTGACTTCGTCCACTTTCTCGCTGGCATCGTACTTCTTTGAGATCTGATCTCAAGCAACCCGCACCCGTTTGTCCTCCTCCGCTGTTCTATCAACAATAATTCTCTAACCGACTGAGTTCTACAAGGAAATCGCTCCTTTGTCCTGCAATCCGAGAATCAATCTACCATGATTAAGAAATTCTAGTATCAAAACTACGGTGGCTGCCATCACGAGGAAAGTGATGAGTTTTTATTTCAGAGTGTAGCAGAATCTATCTGAGTCTACGCATTAGTGAGAAAAGGCTTTATTTTTTTCTATTTCTGTGCTCATGGAAATCATCAATTACTCTTACATAGATAACTACTTAGTACGGCATGGTTTTGTAAAAACAAACTAATCTTGCCGTGGCATACTCATACTTTTGTGAGGCATTACAATTCATCAACAAGCTTATTTTCCCTTTTGTTGTTTTCATTCTAGGATTTGCGAAACGATAGCATTTTTTTCAGGATATCCTCACTACGGTTATGATGAGCTGGGAGACGGATGAGAGGGAGAACCTAGCTAAAGATTTGTTGCGTTCGCGACAGGAAAGAGATGTGTTGAAGGTGGGCTAGATGATGAACGATTAGCTGTCATACGGTTTTTTCTTTCTGATGAATTGCACGCAAATGATGGATAGCTTGTCAGCATCCTCACTTCCCTCCACTCAGCCCCCTACAATAATCACTTGTTTTGTAATGAGTAGAGCACTTGTAAGAGGTTTTGAGCACAGACCATGTCTACCTTCGGGATCGCTAAAAATGGCATGTGTTAAATGGTGAATTAAGTAAAACTCACTTCGGATGATAAACGCATTTTTGCACTCATCGCGTTTTATACATACGAAATTTGAAGTTATACCGCTACGCCAGTAGCACAACGTACTCAAGCTTGCAAGTAATTCTAAATTTTTTTTCTTAAAAATTTTAGAGTTATTTTGATTGAAAACAGAGTATTCCTAGAGAAAGTGTTTTTTTGCAATGTTTGGTAGCTTCAGGCTCGCCTTGAACGGATGACCCGGCAGTTGAAGGAGGCCCAAGCTGAACTCGAAGTGTATCGTCATGAGGGTGTACTCGCCCAAACAAGCAATGGCAAAGAAACTTCTCAGCGTGTGGTTCGCAGTCGAAGCGCTAGCAATCTTGCTGAGAACGCAACTGATAGGCAGGAAGTTCACTTGTTAGTGACGTACCGTTTTTTTTTTCTTCAGAATTTTGTGAATAAAATTTAAGCATGAAATTACAGGTGGAAAGAAAAATGTGGTACTATGTTCCGTGAGTTGAATGCGATGAGGAGTGGTTACCAACGTGCTCAAGCTGATCGCCGAGAGTTGAAAATCCAAGTGGCAATGCTTCGTGGCGAACTGGAAATGGCACGATGTGAAGGCGAAAGGTCTGTCATTTTTGTTTGGGGTTGATAAGAATTTACATTTCCAAAAAAAGAAGAGAAAACTTAGGGATGCCGATACATCTATAGGATCGTCTGTGTACTTCTCCCCCATTTCTGTAAGAAGCCGAAGTTGTCATACTTCTAGTGATTTGCGACGGTAAGCATTTACATGTTTGAATGCCGTATCACAAAAAAGGGCTAGATCAAATTTGTATGTAAAATGTGCTCTCGGCTTGATTGTCCCCGCCTTTCCCTACTCGTCCAGAGCTCAGCATGAAGGTGGCAAGACACTCATGAATGAATTCGCTCTTGTCACTTCCAAATTACGATTCTTTCCTTGATCGCGTCAGCTGGGCTGGTCATTCAAATGGAGCGCGCTTTCTTCCTTAAGAGTTGGCGGTTCCTTTGCTATTTCGAGTTTAGCAAAGAAGAGAGGAGGAGTTTAAAAGTAGATCTGCATTATCTGGTAAACATTAAGTGTAGAACAGATTTATGTAGGAAAGACGAGAAACCTAGGTGAACTGAAGCTCGGAGAGCAACAGAGTGGAAATACCACCCTACGTTGTAAAAAGTTGGGCGCGCCCTTCATTCACATAAACTTTTCAAAGAATTTTATTCTTCGTCCTTAGCCTCATTGTGCGTGTGCATAAAATTTGAGGGCATTCTGTTGCGTGTGCGCTGTAAATGAGTCATTTTTTTCGCTACTGTGAAATTCTCAAAAAAAGCTCGCTGCACCTTTCAGTCACATAATTTTTTGGCTTTTTAGCTTGTTCGTCCTATCTCTTGTTTACCTAAAACGAGATTTGATAGCAAAATTCAATGTGTGGGGTGTAAATGAATCATATGTACTACTTAGTGCAACGAATGTTTTGAATAAAGCAATATCGTGTATGAGCACGTCGGTTCTGTATCTGCTCGTCATGGGGCTAGACATGTTTAGGGGTGTACAGGTAGTCCATGAACGTGGATTACGATACCCCTTTTGCTTTGCCTCAGAAAATATTCCAGCTTGCCACATGCCACCCCCCCCCCCCCTCGCCCCGTCCTCCTTCATCTCCGCCTTTCTTTGCTGTTCTCACCAATCATTCAGTGTTTCTGCATTTTCTTCTAAAGTTCACGTGCCTCATGCACGAATGGGTGACCAAAGCAAATATTTCGATTGCACAATCAGCGGCCGTATACATCAACGAACCATGAGGGCAGATCCTACCCTCAAGGGTAGGGTTTACCCTAAGGATTCAATGCCGTATTCATCAACGAAGCCTTGAGGGTAGAGCAATCGGAAAGCAATTAAGTATTCATCCAAGAGTTATGTGAATAAATCCTCCCTTGAGGGTAAACCTTACTTCTAGAAAGCAATAAACCGTATCCATGAATGTGATCCATCAGGGTTAATTCAAGATTGAATTTACCCTGACACTTTATACAAACATAAAGTGATCTTTCATGCACCACCCAGTCCTAGCGATACTGTTTTGATAACAAACACATATTTATAAGTACTATTATCTCAAATTATCTATGGCCTTTTTTCTTGTTTTCGTTTGACGATCTCATCCGGTACTATATTCAGCCGAGTTGTTACAGTAAAAATTTTGGTTTTGAGTAAAGTACATTTGCAACTATTGGCTTTGATATGGCGAACATCAAGTTCAACAACTCAGAGAAATCGTAATATGGAGTTTCCTCAATCAAATTTTTTCCAGTATACTTGTTCATTGGTACGATACATGACCAAATTATCGTAGCGGAACTGAATACACTCAAAGCTGACCAACAAAAGACCAAAAAATTATTCTAATTTTTGTAGTATGATTAGACGAGACGGAAAGACGTCATAGGATATTAATCATCTTAATTATAAATATTTGTTTGTGGTCAGAACAGTTTTATTGGGACTGAGTGATGCAGCCAGAGATTTATGTTCGTTTGAAACGTCAGTGTAAGTTTAACCCCTGTGCTAGGGTTGAATTTGCCTTGATGAAACAGGTTCATGAGTATGGGTTGGTCATTTTCTGGGGTGTTCACCCTCATGGTATATTTAAGTTTCAAGTTTTGAATTCGCTAAAACTTGGAACCAGTGAATCCTGGTTCCAAGTTCTAGCGAATTCAAATTCTCAATATCGAGTCACCCAAGTAAGGTGGCCATTTTACGCGGTTAACTACAATACCGCTCACAAAGTATGCAAAATTTCCTTGAATGCCGCGAAATCCCCAAAATTCCGCGAAATTCCTGGAATTTCGCGAAACTTCGCGAAATTCCGGAAAGTTCGCGGAATTTTCGGAATTTCGCGACATTTTCGGAATTTCGCGACATTTACGGAAATTTTGCACATTCTGTGAGCGGTATTGTATTCGACGTGCTAACAACATTTTTTACATTGTTTTGCTGTTAGTGACACATTGTAGGATAGAATATCTGCCAACACGACTTTCGAATTTGAAAGACAATTCATAGGCGATTTTGTAACATCATAATCTGACGAACAATTCAAATAAAGATCTGTGCTAAGCATGGTCCGATAGAGGTGTTCACAAAGTTTTGAACTCACAAAAATTTGCGGACAATTTCCGCAACAGGTAGGCGACAAGTGCAGGCGAAGTTGCGATCTTGATTGGTTTAGCCTACTTCTATCTCACTTTAGCTTTACTGTAAGACTCTCTAGTGCAAAATAAATAGGATTTTCGTAAAGATCGCGACCAAAAACCACTATGAGTGAAGTCTACGGTCAATCCGAGAACCTCAATATTTTAACCAAATCTTGCGCCGAGGCCAAGAGTGAGGAGCGAGAGGCCAAGAGCGCGCTATATCGGTGTGTATTGCTTCTAAGAAGCTGGAAAAAATATGGGGTGTATAGGTATGAGAGAGGTGTCTAACATGATTTTTGGGAGAATTACGGAGAAACTTTGGGAGAGCCGATTTTACGGCGTGAGCATGCATGTTGGGGGGCTAATAACTCTGCGAATATTACAGATATGAGGCTGTAGTTTGTTTTATTGGACAGATCTCTGAAAATATGATTTTTAGAGAGAAGGTCGTAGGATAACAAGTTTCCATTAAAAGTGCCTAATTGACAGCTGAACTTGGGAAATCTGTCAATAAAGGCGAGTTTGCGCCCTTATATCTCTGCAAGTTGTAGGGTTGGGGTAATATCATGTGGTTATTGATATGTACTTTTGATAGCTCTATTTTTCTAGGGGTAGATCATGGCTGTAGCTCTATCGTAGGAGGCGCTATATAAGGGCGATGATGCATATTTTGAATTTTATCTCCGTGGAGAGTAGGGATAACAGGCTGGGATAGCCATTCTTCAGTTTGAATTCGAGGGGGACAGCACATATAATTCGGAGAAAATGCAGGGGCTCCGCCTGTGGGAGCCCATCTAAAACCTTCCCGGACTTGTTTTTTTTAGTTCAGGGTCTCGCAATTTCTCCTCTTTCTCCCCCCTCATTTTTCCCCTCTCTTTATTTTGCAGCGCGTGTGATAGTTACCCGCGGCCATCTGGACCTGGTTAGGGGGCTGAAACCGGCTAGAAAGGGGTAAATAAGCTTAGAAAAACGCGATTTTCGCTTATTTTTCCTTATTTTTTCTTAATTTTTCTTATTTTCTTCAATTTCGATCGTGATGTGGGGGTATAAAGTGGGCGGAGCTTGCTTGGAGGAGATTCAGCTGTATAAAAGCACTGGAAATGAGCTTATTATGGAGTTTTTCGAATTTTTCGCTTAGTTTTTCGATAATTTTACCGATTTCCGAAATCTCGAAACTTTCAAAATATCGGTTTTATCGATTTTTGTCAATTTTCGAGATTTTGCAACCTTCAAAATATCGATTTTATCAATTTTGCCGATTTTTGGGATATCGATTTTCGTCAATTTCTGGGGTTTCGCAACCTTCAAAATATCGATTTTATCGATTTTTTGTCAATTTTCGGTATTTCGAAACCTTCAGGATATCGATTTTATTGATTTTTGTCGATTTTCGGGATTTTACAGCCCTCAGAAGACCGATTCTATCTATTTTTGAGGATTTGGTGGTTCATCAGCCTCCAAAATATCGATTTTTCGCTTTTTAGCTGTGAACTGTAAGCCCCGCCCACTTATGATATTACTATACAATACCGCTCACAAAGTATGCAAAATTTCCGTGAATACCGCGAAATTCCGAAAATTCCGCGAAATTCCTGGAATTTCGCGAAACTTCGCGAAATTCCGGAAAGTTCGCGGAATTTTCGGAATTTCGCGACATTTACGGAAATTTTGCACATTCTGTGAGCGGTATTGTATATTTCAAAAGCGAATTGGCTACCTCTTTTCATATTTATTACAAAGCACTGCTCCCTATTTGCCCATACCATGAATCCTGGTTCATATAGTCAAACTATGGAATAGGAGCCTCCCAATATCTCTTTTTTCCCATTTTCGCTTACAGTGGTTGTGCTTCCAGCAACTATTGCTCAAGAAGACGAACTAAGCTCTAATCACTTTCATGAAAACTGCGAGATTTTGGCTATCGAACTTTGATTTTGTTCCCTAAAATTCTTTTTGGAGGTACGTTAATGGGGTGTGGCACAACCTCTAAAAAGCCGTGGCTCCCGCACCTAGGGGTTGTGCCGCACCCCACCAACTTACCTTCAAAGTATTTGAATACCTTGTTTTTCTATATCGTTGTTACGGCTAAGCCTTCTTCTCTACACAGCAGGGATTTCATTCAAATTTCTTTCCCATAGAGATATTGCTACTTACCTATGCAAATGGAAAATGCTGCGAAAATATTGGGTTACGGCCGTTACATGAAAGTTATCTGATAGCTTCTTGTGAACCCCCTGAAAATTGACGTGCATACGCTTGTATGCACAAACTGGATGGGATTCAGGGCGTGCATGTGGCTTATGTGGTCGTCAACGTGTCAAGAATTCTCAAAGGCAGCGTCCAGGCAAATCTGGACATACGGAGTTCTAATGTGGAAAGTAATTTTGGGGCCCTGACTAAGACACTGCCCAAGCGGCATCTCAAATGATGAACTCACAGTTGAGATATTCGCCTCCAAACTGGACCCCAGGATCGTATTCGCATGGATTCATGGCGCGACACGCGTGGGTCCTTGCGCGAAACTGATGTGTCGATTGACGATTGTATGATTCCATGCGACATCCCGGGGTCCAGTTTGGAGGCGAATATCTCAGTTGTGAGCTCACCATTTGAGCTGCCGCTTGGGCCAACGTTTTAGTCAGGGCTCCAAGATTACCCTCCAAGTGAGATCCCCATAGGCCCAGATTTGCTTGATTTTGATAGTGTTAGGTAGTAGACCCTCAAGTGCACCGTTGCCCCAACGCCACCCTCCATTTCATGCGCCAAGCCCAGTAGAGGGACTTCAAGACTCCACCAGCCGCCCCACCCACTTCCATTGAGTGGGCGTCATTGGTGGAGTTTTGAAGCGTTTTCAGGGTTAGCGGACGAATCGGAGGGTGGGGTTAGAGCTACAGTGTGCTTGAGGGATCTACTATCCGAAACCACCGAAATCTGACAGGGGTCCATTTTGCTGAACCATGCCTTTAATGGAATTTGAAATTTTATGAAGCACTCGTTTGAAATACATCAGTAAGCAATAATCATAGTGGGAGGATTAGGACTCACATAAGTTCCTCGTGTCAATTACCTGCTCTTTGAGTGTGCGAATTCACTTGTTATTTGGGTTGAATCGAGCATTAGGATCCTGCGTGATTGCGAGAGTCGGTGAGTTTCCTGCCGTTGCTCAGGCAGGATGCCGTAATGCCTCAAACCAATCAAACGAAGTTGAAAGCTTGCACTGACAGCAAAAGCTTTGACAGAAGATAGACTAAGGAAGTTAAATTCGCGCACAATTGTCGCAAACTCACTGACTCTTGCGATCACGCAGAGCCCTATGTGATAGTTCAGAACACACTTATCTGACTAGTCTTTCTGGTGAAAGTTACGTTTAATCTACATATGATCAGGTTTTGTTTAGGCGAAGGAGTAATGTGGTCGCCGTGCACGAAAGTCCGCATCCATTTGATCGCACATCCACTCATGAAAGCGTAGCTTGCCGTGTGCCGGCTACTCCACCCGTGAAACGAGGGGCGAGCGAACCCGAACGTCGTTCACGAAGTGAGCAGCGGAAGCGATCCAGTCCATTGAGGCCAACTCCCGATGCAAAGAGCCGTCGTCGATCTGTTAAGAAGGTTAAGCATTTGTGCGATGAATTCATAGTTTTCTTCATTTCATCATGCGCTTCAGAACATTCCATCGTCACTGTCCTCCTCATTCACATCAGATATAGGTGGAGATTGGTTTGGAAGCACAGCTCAACAGTCAGTTCAATTTCAGACCTTAGATTGATCCGTGAAATCTTCATGATTTTCCAGAAAAGACATGCCACAAATGTCGCAGTCTTGGCATGAAGGTAGTGCTAACAAAACGCAGTTTGAATCACAGCCAACGGAGCGCTCGCAAACAAGTCGCCGCGAGTCGCGCACAATATCTTTGCGCGAACGCGTTGGTCAGCTTGGGCGTGAAAATCGTTTTCTCAAGGACCAACTCGCCATTGCGAATGCGGCTGTAAGTCATCTACAGCTCTCAGTAGGTTCCTCGATATGAATACTTTAGCTTGCAAGTGCTAGGAGGGTAAGACCTGACAATGATCGCTTAACTAAGCTAGAGCAAGAAAAGGACGCTCTCAGGGAGAAAGTCGAACTGCTTCTCGCTAAAATTGACCAGGTATTCAATAGTAAAGGGATTTATACCCGCATTCCACTCATTCGTTCTTTGTTAGGATTCTACATCTGCGTGCGCTGCCGTGGAAGAGGCAAATGCCCAGCTGGAACTAAGTAGGAATGAGAACATGATGTATGAGCAAAAGATACGAGACATGGAGGAAGAGAGGTAGTTTTGCTGAAGCAAATCCATCATATTGTTTCGGTTGTTCCAGAAGGGAAATGTACCTGGTCATGTTCAAGAAAGGCCAAGAAGCAGCTGCAATGGATCTCAAGGAAGTGGGTATTAGCTTATGCACAAGTCTCGATGTTTATCCGATGGATTTTTAGTCTCTTATAAAGAGATCCGGCTCACATTCGGAATTATAGCTGTATGTGTCTGCAAAGATGCCATTACTTTCAGGTTGCCCACGTTGATCAGATGACGCAGGATCGTGTCGTGTTGCGATTTTTGCATGATGCTTTTTATTACTACCTAATGAATAAGGGCGATGCTAAAGAGCACCTGCAGGTTGAAATATAGGTTATCCTAATTTAATCAGATTCCGCACACCATAATTCAGGCAATAATGACGATGCTCGACTTCAGTGTGGAGCAGAAGGATGAAGTAGCTAAGAAGAAGGGTCGATCTTTCTGAATATATTCAAAATATAATCTTTCACGGGTCTCTCTTACATAGTGTCTCGAAAATATGCAGCTCGTCGAATAACCTCACATCAGTGCCTAATGCAAAACAGAAGTAATTTTCTTTTGTAGTAAAACTCCATCTCACCTCAACCTTCCCGATGACATTCACTTACTGTAATTCACGTTATCTAGAGGTTCTTGCAAAAAGTTGTGAATATAGAGAACTTATTTATTGTTATCATCACCCATTTATTGCCTATATCCAGCAGTTTGATAACGGGCTTTGTTGAAAACTTAAGGTTTCTAGTGATGCACATAATAGTCTAATGAAAAATTCTAGTCTTCTGTTGTTTTCTTCTTCTGTTTCTGTTGTTTTTTGCAAGCACTTTCCGCATCAGCTTCTATAAACTTTGCTGTAGCAGCTGCTCAAAAGTCGCGGCACGAAACCGAAAGGGATGCAGTGCAGAAAAAATGCGTCATTCATTTTTGTGTATGTTGTTTCTAAAAGTGACGACTGTTCCAGCACATATGTTCAGAACTTAGAATCGTTTTGTAGGGAAAAAGCAAAGTGGTTATTATAAGTACACATAGGAAGCCATATGTGCTCCTCAGACATCTTCAACCACGTCACAACTCCAGGCGATTGAGCACGAACTTGACTCCGCCCAAACACGCTTTATTCTAAGAGCATTTTTTTTGTAATGAGGGTGAAGTGATTCTTTTACAGCATATAGGCGACGATATCACATCAAAATCGGTGCACACTCAAAGAGAGGGGGTGCATTTATGCTCCAAGCTTACTCAGCCAACTGTTGGCAAGAAGAGCTTTTTCTAACCAACTGGGTAGGCTTAAAGTATGAATATATATATATATCATCTGAAATAGGAAATGTGTGGAAATTGCGTTCCAATCTTTAGCCAGAATTGCAATGATTTCCACAACCAAGCATCCGCTCCATTTGTCTCCAGAAGAGATAATCGAAAACTTCATGCTAGAAGAAAAAATTTCCTACATCGTAGCGAAGATCTCATATACACATCACCACGGGGATGAAGGCAGACTCTGCCTGCCCAGCAAGAAGGATGGTCCGCTTCTTATTAGGGCCGCATGCATTAACATCCCTGCTGGGGAGATGATTGCAGTTCAAAAAAAAGCTTAAAATTCTGCAGATATCTGGATTTCATGCTTTCTACTTGGTAAGTATTCTTATCATTCTCCATTATATACACATATTGAACAGAAGCCAGAAGCTGTGCAAGCCGCATTTTACAGCTTTTTGTATGATCCCCTGCTGATCTTCGGCGGCCGACCACCTTTTCTTCAAAGTCATTTTTCTTTCTTCAAAGTTAACGAAAATATTCCAAGTTGTACGGATCATCTGACCGAACAGTGCCAAGCATGTTTTCGATCAGATTCGCTTTCAGGGCTCACTTACCCCTTCACCCTACAAAGATGGGAATAGCTAAGACCCCTTTACCTGAGAGTGCCCGGCTTCCCCTACCGCACCTATGCTCCAAATGGCTTGTTTACAGCGCGCAAACAATCACATGACACCAAATTTGCTCTATCTGTATACAGTATCAGTCCAAACTCCGTAATGCAAGAGTTATCAAAAATTCATGTTTCACCTGTTCTCGCATTTGCTGGTTTCTAGACCAACACCAAGCCAACTGGGTTGGTACGAAGCATAAATACTGGAGAGTTTATATAACTTTTAAGCCCTTTGATTTTTCGTCTAGAACTCTCGAAAATTTATCATATAATGAAAAGAGCAAATTAAACTATTGCCCCTTTTCTTTTTTCAACCAAAGAAGCATAAACATACGCATTGGATATCGCGCTCCAATTACATGCGTGTTACGGCTTCCTTCGAACTATGCGGCGACAGCATCGCCAGGTTGTTGTAAGCTACAATTTTGGCTGATTGCTGGCCTAAGGGGTTTTTGACATATTGATCAACAGACCAAATCGAATACCTCAAAATGTCTCTTTGCTTCGTTGTATTAACAACCTCAAAAATGCTTATTTGTTCTTTCTATTCTTATGCTTAATGACCAAAGGTTTGCTACTGATACGCCAAAGGGCACTTCGTAAAATTAAGTTCTGAGGAACTTCGTTTTCAACAATGCTCCAAACCGACGCGTAATGGATCCTGAAGCTCTCTCATGATACAGTCTTTTTCAACCCAGAGTAGGTGAAAAATTGCAAGTGGAGGAGTACGTCCGCACCGCCACTGGCTCGAAATAGACTAGAATGAAGAGACGCAGACTGCAGAGCGGCGCGAACCGTTGCGAAGCGAGGTCCCGCCAGGCCCAGTTCCCTCCTAAACTGAGTTAAAACTTACCATACTGGGTACTAAATTTTGTGCAAATACGCCGAATATGTGTTTTAATAAACTCAGAATTGATTTATCATATGATCATTCGTAGACAGGCTGATGTCCCTAACTTTATATAGAGATCAAATGACCCTTCACATTTGGTTATGATGGACATGAATGACCGAAGTGCACTTGACGTTGTATTCTTGCGAGCTTATGACTGCTTGCTCAGCCATGCGGCCACATTTCTCTTCTTTTGATTTTCAGGAACTTCATAAACGCGGGCCTGAAGTGGGACGTTGGGTCATGTATGGCTAGAACCATGGTTATGGAGCTGAAGGAAAGAAATACTCACTTTAGTAATTTCATCAAGATCCGTCAAGCCTCGGTCAGCGTTAAGTTCGAGATCAGTAAGCTCTGAGTCCATGCTGAGAAATGAGGCTATGATTTTGAAAATCTTGAGCACTGAAGGAATCACCTGGGCATTTTGATTATATTCTCTTCTTGGTAAGTTTTTATCAGCCGCCTCTCAAAGTTTTTGATTTCTCCACAAGATTTTGTCTTTCCAATCTGATGAAGTTGCTTGTGACGTTTCACCACTGGGCGTTCACCGATTGCATCGAATGAAGCTGAAATGATTTGTGGATGGCAGCAGGAAAGCTCTTTTTTGATTTCACATAGCACATATTGGTCATACTGCATTCTCAATCATTTTCCATTGCTTATAGTTTATTATAAAAATGAGTTTTAGGTATGTGCTTTCCACTTGTTAAGAATCCAAAGTAGCCCATTCCTTTCAGCTAGGCTTCCTCCACTTAGAGACAATATTCGAACAAACTTAATCTTCAACTTTTCGCATACATGGGCTTATCTGCCACGCTAAGTCCGTAAATCCACCTGAGAGAGCGCGAAAACGGCGAGAATAAGCGTTTTCCAAAGCGCTTCGATTTGAGTTTGACGTGTGGAGCAGTTTCCGTCAGAGTCGCTTTGTAACCCTGTCGCTTAGAGCATAGAGCATCATTTTTTTCAGCATCATCTAATTAAGCACAAGAACATCATTTTCGTAATTAGCATGTCCATTAACCCCTGCGCGTCAAGTTTGAGCAAATTTTAGGTCTCCAAGAATTCGATCAAGTGAGATGGTCATTTTCAAACATGTTGACTTTGTTTCAATGGTGAATTAACTACCATAATTTCACGAGTACAAGACGCGACGGATTTCTTTCTAAAATCGACCAGCTCAAACACACCAAAAGATTTCGAAACCAGAAAACCACTCAATGCTGATATTGCCTGAAAGCATCATGCGACCTAGGTTTCGTTTTCCAAGACGCAGCGAGGAGGTTGAGGGGCTCGCTTGAAAATTCGAGAAAGGTGCGTCTTGTACTCGTGAAATTAGGATACTTCTTTTTGCACTTAATACAAGAAACTACTATTTCTTTGCTCACATTAGGAATTTCACTTCAAATATCTTACAAAATATGAAATTCAGAGCAAGCCAAAATCTCCTTTGATTTTTCGCTTTTAATATCTTAGACTAGAGAAGCCCAATCAGCAGGGTAAAGCGGGGGGTGCGGCACTCGACCGTCGGATACGACCCCCCCCCCTGATTGCTGTCTTAATAAGACCCCCCTCCTAAACTATACACTTAAGATAGTATTACCTGAAGGCTCTGTCAAACATAATGGACAACATATCCATAATTAGCATGTCAAATACCCCCTGTAGACAAAGTGTGAGCGAATTCTGAAGATTCAAGATACTAGGCTACCTAAGTGAAATGGTCAAATTCCAACATGGTTAACTTTGTTTTAAAGGTGAATTAGCTATCCGTTTTTGCACTCAAGACAAAGCACTACTCCTTCTTTGTCCACCTCAGGAATCCCGCTTCAGAAGACCTCCAAACTATGGAATTAGAAGCCAACCAAAATCTCATTTTTCCCATTTTTCGCTTTTGATGGCTGTGTTTTCACCAAATATTACTCAGAGCTAAGAAGACGAATCAGGCTCAAAACATCTCTATGGAATCTACGAGGTTTAGGCTATCGATACATATAAATATTGTCCGCTAAAAATGTTTTTTTGATATAGTTAATGGCCTGCGGCACCCCTGCGGCACCCCTGCGGCAGCCGCAGGTTTTGAGGGGGGGTGCCGCAGGCCATTAACTATATCAAAAAAACATTTTTAGCAGACAATATTTATATGAATCGATAGCCTAAACCTCGTAGATTCCATAGGGATGTTTTGAGCCTGATTCATCTTCTTAGCTCTGAGTAATATTTGGTGAAAGCACAGCCATCAAAAGCGAAAAATGGGAAAAATGAGATTTTGGTTGGCTTCTAATTCCACAGTTTGGAGGTCTTCTGAAGCGGGATTCCTGAGGTGGACAAAGAAGGAGTAGTGCTTTGTCTTGAGTGCAAAAACGGATAGCTAATTCACCTTTAAAACAAAGTTAACCATGTTGGAATTTGACCATTTCACTTAGGTAGCCTAGTATCTTGAATCTTCAGAATTCGCTCACACTTTGTCTACAGGGGTTAATTGACGTGCTAATTATGAATATGATACGAATATCATGTTATCGCTATAATCAGATCACCTAACTACGACCCCCTCCCCTTTTGACTCCTCAATACGACCCCCCTCTGCGGCGTGCCGCACCCCCCGCTTTACCCTGCCAATCAGGCTCAAATCGCTTTTGTGAAAGTTGCGAGGTTTAGGTCATCAAATATATTTATTCTCGCCGCTTTCCCTCGCGAATCACGTAGTAGAGCAGACTTAGCATCCGTGATCCAGTATTTTCGCAGTATTTTCCCTGGCATAGTTAAGGGAAAACGACTATTTCTTTCCCTAGAAGAAAGGATTTTGAACGAAACTCCTGCTGTGCAGAGAAGAAGGTTTAGCAGAGGCAACGATATTGAAAACATAGATATTCGTATGTTCTGAAGGTAAGTTAATGGAGTGGAGCATAACCTTTGAAAAGGTTACCACCAAAGATAAATTTAGCAAACAGATTATATACAGGTATACAGTTTGATAGCCAAAATTTCGTAGTTTTTGTTGAAGTGATTAGAGCTTGATTCGCCTTTTTTCTTTTGTTCAATAAAGTGCGGTTCATAATTATACGAACACCCAAGATTTTGTAAGTTTTCGGACTTTTTGGGAGATACTCAAAAAGCCGTTGGTACCACGCGATAGAACAGAGCCGAAAACGGTATATGATCCATAAGAATGGAAACTGATGTCAATCTTAGGAGTGTTTTTGCGCCTAATGCGAATTTTTAGCGGTTCATAATTATACGAACACCTCAAACAAAAGTCCATTTTTCATTCATGATTGCAACCATTTGAGTCCAAATTTTTTGTAGAGTTACAGTAACAAAGTCTAACATATGTGCTACGCACTGAACCCAGTACAGTTCAAAAAGAGGACGTTACTTTTTTCAGAAGGCTCTAAATGCATTTGGAGTGATTGCGCTCCAAAATCATCCGCTTCTGTGGTTTACGCGCTCCAATTAGTTTCTATCAAAGCTACGAGATAAAGTGAGCTCTTTCGTTAGGTATTTTGTTTGACGTTTGGAAAATCTTTGCGTTTTCATGCCGGTTTCAACCAAGTTCCAACCTTACCACAGAGTTAGCACGATTTCGAGCCTCAAAACTCAGCTTCTGAAGCCGTACAATGAAGTAAGCATATGATATGTAGAAGTTCACAAGACTGTATATTTGGCTAGAAAAAATCAGCAGCGTTGAGTGTTTGTTTTGGTCACGCAGACGTTATTTCACCAGAAATCGTGTTTTTACTATTGCAATCGCACCTTTATTTGGTTTATAGCTCCACACCCGCAATCAGTTCTAGAAAAAACCCAAAAATTTTAGCACAGAAACATCATCATGTAAACAATGCAGCTACTTCATATCAAATGTTTGCGCAACAGAGAAGCTGTGTTTTGAGGCTCGAAATCGTGCTAACTCTGTGGTAAGGTTGAAACTTGGTTGAAAAACGGCACGAAAACGCAAAGATTTTCCAAGCGTCAAACAAAATACCTATCGAAAAAGCTTATTTTATCTCATAGCTTCGGTAGAAGCTATTTAGAGCGCGTAAACCACAAAAGAACGGATGTTTTTGGAGCGCAATCACTCCAAAAACATTTAGAGCCTTCTGAAAAAAATAACGGTCTTCTTTTTGAACTGCACTGGGTTCAGTGCATAGCAGATATGTCAAACTTTGTTACTGTAACTCTACAAAAAATCTGGACTCAAATGATTGCAATCTTGAACGAAAAATGGACCTTCGTCTGAGGTGTTCGTATAATTATGAACCGCTAAAAATTCGCATTAAGCGCAAAAACACTCCTAAAATTGACATCGGTTTCCATTCTTATGGATCATATACCGTTTTCGGCTGTGTTCTATCGCGTGGTATTAACGGCGTTTTGAGTTGCTCCCAAAAAGTCCGAAAACTTACAAATTTTGGGTGTTCGTATAATTATGAACCGAACTTTAGTTGCTGGAAGCACAACCACAGAAAGCAAAAAATGGAACAAATGAGATTTTGGTTGGCTTCTAATTCCATAGTTTGCTGGTTATTTGAAGCAGTTTTCATAACTGGGCAAACAGGGAGTAGTGCTTTGTTTTGAGTACATAAAGAGGTAGCCAATCTTGAGTGTAGTTAACCTTGTTTGAAAATGACACTTCACTTAGGTGACCTAATATCGGTAACTCTCAGAATTCGCTAAAGCTTGGCCCATAGGGATTAACTGACATGATAATTACAATTATGAACCAGTTATGCTTGGCAGGAGCCTTTATGTCCTGCCTACGGTAAGTAAACGATAGTGCGGGGGAGGGGGTATTGAAATACCTGTTACTCTGGTGGAATCCTAATGCAGTACGATAACTTGGCTTCTCACCAACGCAACACAAGTCCGATCAAAAAGTGGGTTCCGAAGCAAGAAAATCGCTTCAAGCGAGAAGTTCGGTACTGACCAGGGTCAAGCAAGGGGTGTGGCACACGATGGCTGGTTACGACCCCCCCCTAATTGCTGTCTTAATAAGACCCCCTCCCCCTGAACTATATACCTAAGATAGCGTTACCAGAGTTGATTATCATTATCATTGCCACGAGAATCCAAAACAAGCATTATAGGTGAATTTTGTTTCAAGCAAACTAACTTGTTTTGCAAATATGCGGTCATATCACATAAATTTTCTCAGATTTCCGGAAAATCATACTGCACTTACATATTTTCGAATCTGCTTTAAATAACCAAATTCTTTTATTTTGCTTCCAAAAGCTGTTATCCTCAATATAAATCGACCTGTAACTCAATCGAAATTACGTGTGAACTAGTCGTAAGATGTGAGGTCACTCAGACAATCATGCCTGAGGTGTTCTAAATTGATTTCACACTTCAAAGTTGGATATTCAGGAGTCACTCGGTCAATCACAGGTAAATCAGCAAATCTCTCGAATTTCAAGACTAACACATCAGCTATTCATTGATGCTAAAAAAGAAACAAAAAATCAAAACAAGATTCTGTAAATAGTTGAGCTTCACCCCAGCTTGCAACAAGCTTATATCTCACTATCAAAAGTTATTTTTACTTGACGGTATCGTCCGAGAAACT